AGCCCTTCTCTACCACCTGTGCGGACCCGCCTCCCGCCGGCCAGGGGCCGGGGCCGAGGAGCCGGCGAGGAAAATCATCATTAAAGCTGCCAGGAGCCTTTTAGCCCCGGAGAAGAGGCCGCCAGATTTCACGGCAGGCCCCTCCGCGGGTGGCGCGGCGGGTGGGACGCCCGGTGCTGCTGCCCGCGGCCCCTCGGCTGCACGGGGTGGGACGGGCACTGCGACGCCTGCTGCCGCCCTCGCCAGCGGAGAGTTTGTTGGAAACTTTGAAATACCGGGTTAAATGTGGTCTCGAACCGGTCCTGCTAGTTCTGCTGTTTAAAACACTGAACTGTGGGTCATGCGCACCACGTTTGTGACTTCCTCACTGGGTCTGGGGTCAGGAGCTTTTAGAGGCAGGTTCTGCCTTTCAGGAACCTGTAGAAAATACTGGCTCCGAAGAAGCAAAGCGTTGCTTTGCCGGTGATTTTGTTGGAGTTAGAGTTGAATGTAGGATGGATAGGCTTGGCCTTTCTCTTAGCCTCTTAGCTGTGTTACATTTAGATATAGTTCAGAAACTGCCATTGTGCAAAATCAGGTACGAATAAGCTTTTTTCCTCTTCTACATGATACCTGATCAGACAGCTAAGGCCTGATGACTGATTGTCGGAGGGAATTCCTTGTTCAAATGAGCGGGTTTTGTCTGTTGCTGTGGTCAAAGTTAGTTAGGCAAAACGCTGCATGGAAACAGGTGCCAGTTTGTCTTTAATGCACTGTTGATAAGATTCATTGACGAGGGGATGGGCAATAATAAAGGCAAATGCCTGGTGCAGTCACCAGGGACCTTTCCTTTGTTAGGCTTGACTTTAAGCTATCCCATGGATATTGCAAGGAATGGAATTAAATATTTTTTTTTCTCATTTGACCTTTGATTTTAAAGTAGTGACTTATTTTTCCATATTAAAAAAAAATATAAACTTGTTTTTACAGTAGAGCTATAAAGGGGAAAATGGAGTGGTTAGTGGCACACTTGAGTCTCTGTACACCGGTGCTTCTTCTTCTGTTTTTCTTAAATAGATGTAGCTTTTTCAAGTGCTCTCTGAAGTCAATGGGATTATTTCCGTTGACCTTGATGGGCTCTAGTTGCTTCAGGTCATAGCTTCCAAGCAGCTGGGGTCCAGTACAAGTTTTTATAGAAGACAAATTTTCTCCTATGCAAGCTTTCCTTAGGGGTTTAGAGGTACTTCTCACTAGGATTTAAATTTAAGTTCTTAAAAAAAAAAAAAAAAAAAGCAATAGAAAATGGTTCAAGAAAGTGTTAGGAATGCAAATTGGCTTGTCTGGGACTGTTCACTTTCTTGCACAGGATGCAGTGGTAGCAATTACACATGCCACAGGTTTGCAAATAGCATGACTTCCTGTTTAAAACGAATAGCGTCTCTGCATTTTCGTGTTCAGTTACTTACTTCATCTTGTATTAGCACTTTCTATGTCATTTCAAAGTTTTACTCTTGGTAATGCCGATCAACATGTTGATTCAAATTGAATGCAAACTCAATGAAAGGATCAGTCATATTTCATAGTTTATAGTTTTTGCTTGTTTGTTCATTTTTATTTAGGATTAAAGTATGTAGCGTTAAGTATTCAGCAGGGAGATTTCAAATTTTTGAAAAAAAAGGTCCAAAAATGTTCTAGATGTTTGCATTGTTGAAACCCCTTATGAAAAATAATTATTTTAATGTTACACAAATTCAGTAGTTAGCGTGTTTACCTATGGCTCTTATCTACTTTTTGAATATTTCAGAGTGGTGATGCAACTGAGCTTACAGCCAAGCCAAAGAGAAGTTTCTATGCAGCAAGAGATTTATACAAGTACCGACACCAGTATCCAGTAAGAATATTTTATAGTTTAAATTCTCTTGTTAGCAGAGAACAGTACACAACCCAAAAATTTGTACACTTTTATGTTGCTTAATATATATGAGAAATGAGAAGACTCAGAAACCAAGATATGCCAATGGGAGAGGAGTGAAATTAGTGCAACAGATTTCAGGCCAGATGTGCAATTCCTTCACACCATGAGTTACGTCAGCCTGGAAGTAGTATCAGGAGCTCAGAAAAAAGCTTGCACCTTGAGCATCAGAGAAGGTGGATATAGTCTGAACGTCTTTTTATTATCTGTCTCACAGAAATTCCTTGAGACTAATGTCAAGGTCCTGCAATGCTTGCTGCCCTACCTTGCTGCCCTACCTCTATCTTTGTAAGAGAAGGTAGCAGCCAGAAGGAGCTTGCAAACAATTTTTATTGGGCTGAATCTTTAAGTACCTGAGTAATTCTGAGTAGCTTCAAGTTTTCTTAAAATTCTGATTTTTTTTGTGCTCAGATTATTCAAAGAGCCAAGTACCACTCCATGGTTGATAATATCCTGTTTTATTTCTTTCAGCAGAACTTTAAAGATCTTCGATATCAAAATGACTTGTGCAATCTCCGCTTTTACAAAAATAAAATCCCCTTTAAACCTGATGGTAAGTAGTCTGTAACAGTAATAGCAATAACAGAAGAATGCTCGCTAATAATAGTAACAGGTAAAACTAGTGTGTTAATTACAGCACTAATGAACTAGCAGTGCATAGTTTTATATTGTATGACTTAAATGTGCCGTATTGAAATAGCATGTTGACGACACCGTGGTGTCTAACACAGAAGCAGGTTATGTTTAAACCAAAGTTATCTCCTGATCTTGAGAGGAAGTTTTCAGTAGTGATACTATTCTCATACATTTTCAGCATGATGTAGTTTTGGGCACTGCCTGTACTGTTAACTTATGATGGGCGTACTTCCTTTTATTAAAAAAAGACAAAGTTGTTCCACTACACTCCACAAACTCTTGCTGCTTGAAAAGGCAGCATCAAGGATCAGGGCTTTATTCCTAGCCCTGTGTAAGGGATAACGAATGTGTTGCCACTTCCTCATGTGTGAGAAATGATATTATTATTGTTATTATAATAACCAAAGTCCCTAGTGGTTCTGTTTATGGAGCAGGAATCACATAAGCTAGGCTCTGCACAAACACAGAATGGATTGAAAGATGCAAACTTTGCTCTAGAGAGTTTGCAGTCAAAGTGTGACAGAAAAGAAGACAGCAGACAGATGGGGAAGCAGAATGAGACAGCAAAGAAGTATTGGGCATAATGACGTGAGAGCTTAGCCATTGTCAAAAAATTTTGCAGGCAGAAAATGAGCTTCTGAGATTTTTTGAAAGATCCATAATGAGGTTACTTTGAAGGTGGTTTGCGGTGAGAGCCTCTCAGCATTAGAGCAGCATAGGAGGAAATCCAAAAGCGCGTGTTTCAATATGTAAGAAGTGAAAGTTGGAGGCAGCCGTTGAGGGCTGATGAGAGGCAGGAATCAATCCTGTAGCAGTAAAAGGTTCAGGTAAGGTAGGAAGGGGCAGGTCACAAAAGACTTTGAAAGTGAAGGCATGTAGTTTTTGTTTGATGTTGCAGAAAAGGGCATCACAATGGAAGAATGCAAAGAAAAGGCAATATAAAGAAGCAGTAGTCTAGAAACAGTTTCTTAGCAGCAGCATTTGGGGCAGAGATAAGTGTGGCAGAATTTTCACTTCTCAAGATCAGAAAAAAGGATGCTGAGATGCAGAATGTCAGAATCCTGATGGAAAGCTGGGTGGGAAAGAACGATATGTAGAAGGATGCAGACATGTAAATATAGCCTGAAAGGTGGAAGGTGGAAGGTGTTTGTAGGCAAGATAGTGATAATATCCTCAATAACTGAGAAAAAAAGTTAGATTGCATGAAAGAAGGATAAGACCTTTGTTTTAGTCATGTTGAGCTTTGTCTGGACATCCATAGGCAGCTTCTGAAGGCCATGCTTTTAGCTTGGTTAGAGGAAGAGTTAGATCTGTGAATTACCAGCACAGAGATAACAGATTCATGAGATGTTACACAGACAACACAGTTAGAGAGAAAGAGAAGGGCACTGAGGACCAAGTGAACCTGAAACTGAAAGACAAAGAAGGTTTGAGGAAGATCCTTTAGAGGACAGAGTGAAGGAGCAATTCCAGAGGATTATCCAGAAGAGAAGATAGTCATGGAAGCTAGAGGAAGGCGAAATTTTAGGAGCAAATCATGGTCGTGGTGTCAACAGTAGCTTATAGGCCCTGGAGGCTGAAGCGTTGATGGTTGTGAACTCTGGCTATGCCTAGATTTTTGAGAATGGGAAAGAACAGCCATCGCCTTGACCTAACACCGTGAAACTTTGACAGTGTTCAGGGGGAGTCTAAGGTGCTACATTATGGAGTGAAATACTGGTGAATGCTCTGAAAAAAAAAAAGGCATTTCTAGTACAATACTGGATCTGAAGTTTACTTTCACGGCCTACAGATTAGAGCATGGTTCTCGCTCAGAGCTGGCCTCTCTCTCCCCTCCCTGGAATTCAGTGGCAAATCTTCTAATGTTTGAAATGTAATTACTGTGAAATTTGGATACAGTGTGGTAATGGCATGAAGTCCTCTTAGTGATTTCCAGCCTTGTCTGCACTGGAAACCCCATGTTCTTAGCAACCCCATTGACTGGCTGCTTTCTTCATTTCCTGAAGAAAAGCAGCAAATGAAGCAATGCTTAAAATGAGGTCTCCCTTCCTATTGGGACCCAAGTAGAAATTTTCACTGAGAGAGAGAGTAAGACTTCATATATAGTGGGAGACTGTTTTAGAAATTAAGAAAATGGGGGCTTTGGGTTTTTTAGGCCAGTTCTGTGCTATTTGACTTTGAGAGAGGCCATGATACAGTGGTAAAACTCCTGGTAGTTTCAAAGAAGAAGTAGGCTAACACTGAGTGTTCATTCATGGAGTGAGAATGTGGAACATTTGGAACAAGGAACATCCTTTTGGGTATATTACGTATTTGTGCAGTGCCTAGAAAAGAGGTTCCCAGGTCCATGACTAAAGTTGAAGGGCACAGCCTCAGTACAAAAAATGATTAATTTCCTTTTATGTGTACTTTGTCCTCTTTTTCTATCACCCTTTCTTTCCAAGAGGAACTGACTGAACTTCACAACTTTTTTTAAGACTAATGAAAGTTGCGATTCTCATTTGTTTAGCATGAAATGGGGCACACGAGGTCAAACTCCTGCAAGTAGCCTCAGGACTGCTAGCCACAGCTAATTGCAAAAGATTTCTAGATCTTAATATCATTCTGAGCTGGAGAGATTTCTGAAATGGAAGATTTATTAGTGTTTATTCTACAAAGACGAGATATATGTACAGGTTTGTCATATTAAAGTAATGGCAGATGATTTGTGGTACTATATTTTACTGAAGTGGTTTGTCAGTTGTATCAGCATGATAAAGAAGTCTAGGACATGAGGACTTCTTGGAAAGTATATTTTACAGGGGTCACATACCCTCAGCTGGTAAGTAACTCAGTTTTAGCCTTTTTTTTTTTTTTTTAAATTAAAATATGATAAATCTCCTGCTTTTATATAAGTTTTAGTAGCTACATTCATTTTAAATGAAAACTAATTTATGTCTATAATAGTCCTTATTACAGAATGTGAAATAGAATTAAAGTATGTATTCTACCATTATGTTAGCTTGGCGTGTACTTTCTTGATGTAGCTGAAAGCTGTTTTTGATGGCTACCTAACAGTTTTCAAATTATTTTTATGCAGGGGTTTATATTGAAGAAGTCCTAAACAAATGGAAAGGAGACTATGAAAAACTGGAACATAACCACACTTATATACAGTGGTTGGTCACTTATTACTTATTTCTCTTCTAAAACATTAATTTGATTAAGTGCTCATATACTGAGAGCTGCGCACTTCCTCTTTTAACAGGCTTTTCCCACTGAGGGAGCAAGGTCTGAACTTCTATGCTAAAGAACTAACTACATATGAAATTGAGGTAATACAAATTGAGTTTAACAGAAACCATCAGATTAATATTGATACATTACTGCTTATTGCATACAGTTGAGTTGTTGTATACAATACAACAGTACTTGCTTTAGTACCATTTAGAATTTTAGATGCATTCTTTGTTTATTAGGAATTCAAGAAAACAAAGGAAGCAATTAGAAGATTCCTTTTGGCTTACAAAATGATGTTGGAGTTTTTCGGGATAAAGCTAATTGATAAAACTGGAAACGTAGCACGAGCTGCTAACTGGCAAGAAAGATTTCAGCATTTGAATGAGTAAGTAGTGACATACATATACTCGACACTCTAGAATTGCCATAGAATCTCTTTAGCCTTTCATCTTGTACAGAAAGGGAAGACACGTTTTCCAAAGTCTGTCAGGAAAAAAGAGAAAAAGAAATAGTCAATGATTGGTTTGTGTCTCTGTGTGTATGTTCACCTTACACATTTTTGTGATATGCTTCTCACCCTTTACCAGTCTAAGCAACATCAGTGAAATCCCTGAAAATACAACTTTCAGATGGTGCTGAAGAGGATCACAGTTCCAAATTAGTTTTGTCTGTCATCCTACTGAACATATTTTCACCTGATCCCAAAGTGATGCCTCTCAATTGTAAGGAAAGAGTGGCTTATCTTTGTATTCTCTTTTCTTTTATGAGAAAAGGCAAATTCTCCACACCTGTGTGGAAGCTAAATAATCAAGATTTCTTTCTCTCCTTAAACATGAAGTATTTCCTGTTTAACACTTTTAACTGCAATGCTTGACTGAAGAGCTTTGGACATGTACTGGGCCAAACTTTACCCCGGCTTTCACCGGATGACCATCTGTCACTTTCTTCAGCTTTGGGGGGAATGTAAGTCTGCACTGAGTTTTGTCCCATGCAGATTCTTTGTATCACAGTTCTTTTCAAGTTTTGTGATCGCTTTTCTAATATCTCTCATCTTGGAGCTGAAGCTTGATTTTGTGCAGTATTTTGTCCTCACATGCAGATGCAAGCTTGTTTCTTAAGGTAGGACTGCTGGTGGCTACATCTGGATGAATAATGGAAAAAATGTATTATGAATTTCACTCAGGTATTCTATGAGTCAAATCAAAAATGTGAGCTCTGACTCAGGCCACAGATAAAACAGGGTTTGAGGAAACTGCTCACTGCCCATCTTTATATTGTAATTCCTATAATCTCACCAGTGAGTAGCTACACAGATTTAAGTCAGGGGCTGCAACATTTTTTACCTAATTTTAGCTGTCCAAAATTTACATATCTACAATTTAGGCATTTAAGTTTTACTTTTCACTTAGACTTACTTTATGAAGGAAAGAGCACTTCAGAAACACTTCCAGAAGATAGTTCATTCCATTTATCTTAGACATGTACCTTATGACAGAAGGGGCTTGCCCTCCAGAGGGCATTCACTATGTAAGGAGTGTTGGTAGATAGTCTAGACTGGACACCCAGCTTTTAAACGACTTTAAGTGAAGTATAACGTCTATGCTTTCTTCTCGGGAAAAAATATATATAGCAGAAGAAATCAAATTCAGTAGACACTTTGATACTTTATCTATTGGCCTCAAAGCATTCATTTTACAGAGACTAATTTTCGCTCACAATGTCCTATCAAAGCAAGCTTCATCAGCTACGAGAAATTAAAGTACCGAAAGCTTGAAGTGCACATCTTGAGTGAGGCAAATAAGTCAGGAATTGCAGTTCTAGTGCTGTATCTCTGAATTTTTTATATTCTAGTTCAATAGGATTTTTTCAACCTTTTCTTTTCTCCCAAAGGTCTCAACACAACTACTTGAGAATCACTCGAATTCTGAAAAGTCTTGGTGAACTTGGATATGAGAGTTTCAAATCTCCCCTGGTAAAATTTATTCTCCATGAAGCTCTTGTGGAAGATACCATTCCGAATATTAAGCAAAGTGCTTTAGAATATTTTGTGTATACTATTAGAGACCGAAGAGAAAGGAGAAAGCTCCTGAGATTTGCCCAGCAACATTATACACCTTCAGAGCATTTTATCTGGGGACCCCCAAGAAAACAGAAGTCAGAAGGAAGCAAAACGAGTAAAAAGCCAGCATCTCCAATTTCTGTTCACAATAGTTGTATTTCTAAGCATAAGAAACTGAAAGGTCCTAAGAATACCTCCACAAGTGGAAGCTCAACTAGTAAAACAACTGAAGAAAGAAAGGTAGAACTCACAAAAAATGGGGAAGGAGATGACCAGGATGAACAAGAAATGAATTCTGATGCTGTTAAACAGAACAACAGTGAAAAGAACAGTGATACTGATACTAGTCAGCATTCAATATCAGAAGAAATTCATGATACTTCAGACAATGATGAGGACACTTCTCATTCCAAAAAAGATGATGAAAATCTGAACAGTGACTGTGGAACTCATCCAGGCACTGTAGAGAAAGATTTGTGTGACAGTGAGAATTGTTTGAATAATATATCAGCAGATCCACAGGACAACCTCAATAAGGATGCGCTTTCAGGGGAGACCAACACAAAAAACAAAGATGAGATAAAATCAGGAGTCTGAAGTTAAAACCCATTATGTTTCATATTGAATGAAACAAATTGTTCATTGTTGAATGAAACAAATTCTTCATTGCTCCTTCATTTTGGGTGAAACTTACAGCTGGTGTAGCATGAAAGTTCAGGAGACCTTGCTGGGTATGAATGCATCTCTTAAGTTGATAACTTTTTTAACCTCCATTTATCAGATGTAAACCGAGTGTGGCTATTTAAAACAGTTGTGTAATTTCAAAGCCTAGAAATTCATTATATTTTCCAGATAGATTGCAGTTTGCATAGAAAAGAACATTATCCTTTTTTGCCATTAGATTCATCCATTATTTTAAAAAAAAGCATTACTTATGAGGAGCTCTTGAGGCATCAGAATCTTTACATTTGTTAAGTATTCGTTTCCTTTTATGAAATGACTAGAAATTATTTTGAGAGTACTGTTTTTCCGTGGAGAAGTTAGTTAAGTCCTTTGTTTTTATTCAAGGGCAGTATTTGCACAGCATCTTCTACCTTAGATTAGCATCCTTGTCTGAGACACTTAATAATGGATATCAAGACATCCCATGGATCTGGACATCATTTTACATTGAATAAAAGTTTAACTTATGATGAAACTGTACCCACAGCCTTTGGATACAGGGGAAGTTGCACTTTAGACTTCTTTTAGTCCTTTTCAAGTCTTCTCTTCTCATGACTCATTTGCTACTTTTTCTGATTTGGTGGCGAATGGGACCATTTTCTGGTCACTCTTAGTTTTGATCTCTGTTTGACAGCTCTCTTTTAATCAACTGCACTAAAACAGCTCACCCAGCTGTGTTTGGTTCCTGTAAACCCTCTTCCCTGGAGGTCAGTCACCAACAGCTCAAAAGTAACGTCTTTGCAATGCTGAAACTGCTGTTGTTGGTTTGGGTGAGAAGGGTAGTCCTGCTGTTTTATTTCAGCTGTCTGTTCTCTCCTATTGCTCTTTATTTGGGGGTATTTGGCAGTTTAATTTTATTTTGATCAATGTTTAATGTTATTTTAGGCTGAAACCTGAGAAAAGCCAGTCTGCTAGCCTGGCTAGAGCTGCACGGATAGGAATTTCCCAATTAAGAGCTTTCCCAACTTTGTTCCGTTAAGGGTCATCTCCTTTCCCTGAACAGCCTCTTTTGACTTCATTCCATGCAGTCAAGCAGGATTATATCGAGCAAGTTAATTATATACAATATGAATTAAAAATAATGCAGATAAAAGTTAGATTTTATATAGTCCTAAAATAGTCTTAAACATCTGTTCATGTTTTCTGTTTAAAAGTGTATATATTATCCACTGCCTTTAATGTATTTTTAATGAAATGTTATGATGCTAGTAGCTGACTGCAGCTTGCGTGTCAGAGTGCTACAGGATTTTATTCAAGTCCTATAACTCAAAACTCCAAAAACTCAAACAGAGGCTTCAGGGTTTTCAAAGCATAGATGAAATGTCTTCTATTTTTCTGTTTCACTAATTGCCATTCTGGTAGTGCATGCATTCATTGCTCTCCCCAGGTAGCTCTGTCTCTTGAGGTCAAGCAGAGTGGCAGTTTGAGATCTTGGTTCCCTTGGACTCAGGATTTTCCCTTCTAAAGAGGCAGGGAAGGAGCAAAACACATTCTTCCTTTTCCTGCACTGACTTGTAAGAAGAGGAACATACATATGTGGATCTTGTTAGGGGTAATCCAGGTTGCTCAAGCAAGAGTTGAGAGTAAAGCAAAATGCCCCAGAGAATATCCTCCCACAGCCACCACTTCTTGAGAGCTGGAAAGGTGCTGAGGGCCTCTCAGATTACCCCGGACTTGAACTAGGATCCCCTCTTTCATGTTTGCCGCTGATCTTTAGTGCAGAAGTGCACAGGAAATGCTGAGATTAAAAAAAAAGTCCATATACTTAAAGAACTCTAACCTCACTCATATGCACGAGGAGAGCGAGTTTATGTTCTGCCTACAACTTTTTAAAACTCGAGTGCCTAACCTTGCCAACTTAATAGCATTTATTGTTTTAACATAGTTATTTCTTGAACAGCATGGGGAAAGTTTACACTCTGCAAATGAAGAACTCGTAAGGAAGCTAGCTATAAAGCGCCTTCAGTTTATGGACATTCTATTTTAAGGTTAAACATATAAGTAAATACATAGTGCTCAAGTGAAATGGGGGATGCTAAGGGGTGTTATTATATTTATAATGAAATTTGATTTAATATAGATGACCTCAGGAGATCTGTTTTCTTTTGCCTACTGAATAAAAAAATGAGGAGGAATTTGGCTTTAGTTTAAACTAGAAAGTTACTGGGATATGCATCCAATGGATTTCTCTGCAGTATGTTATTCTGTCATTGTGACACAGCTTTCACCTATGTATGTTTGCTGAGGTCCATTCATAATTAAGTACTTACTATAAGAATGACATTTTTTTTCTGGCAGCTCTAAGCCGCCAGTGTATCTGAAAATATAGTCAAGATCTTTGGAACTATATCCGTATTCATTCTTTGATTTTTTTTTTTTTTTTTTTTTTTTAATCCACAACTCGGGATTTTTCTATCAGTTTTCTTAAAAGTGAGAGAGTAGGGGTGACATATCAATTGCATACAAAGAACTACGGGGATAAGAGAAGTAAGGTTTTTTTTTGTGTTGGATGGCCTCCTGTATTCTGTAATATTTGGCTTTTAGTTTTATCAATCGAATTACTCCAACAGCGCACTTCAGCTTTAACTACCATTTTCTGCTCTACGTAAAATGTGATGGTTTGACATTATTTTTATGGAGATTTTTTTTTCTGATTTTGCAAGTGCTTAAAAGAATGATTCATTGCAGGGCAATCATGCTGTGTAGCATCCCACTGAGGTTTGTGAGGTGCACTGTATGCATTTATCACAGAATCATGGCCTTAGCAACTAAAGCACCCTGTGCTTGCAGTTTGTAAGTATTGGCTTTCAGGTTTACAGTACAATGTATGTTGAAATGATTGTATTCTCATAAATGCCAACAATTAGACATTTAATCATTAATTCAGAAACTGAGGATGTGCAAAGCGATTGAGGACATTTGCTCACTACTAAACCTGTTTTTATCTTGCTATACGCTTACATATTTGGGGTTTTCTGTGTGCTTATAACAACGGTGTGCTTTGGCTCAGCCTTCTCCTCGAATCTGAACTATTCATATATCAAGGAAATGGAACTTCCCATGCCGGGATTCTTTCCTAATGAGCGTGTCTGCGTATCCTCTGACGGGAGGGATGTAAGCGGGAGTAGTGTTCATGTGGAAACACCTATGAATTTGATTTTACTTTAATTATCCCGCAGAGAGTGTATATCAGTGAAAGTGATTGTACAAGTCGTGCAAACATGCAGCACTTCATATTTAAGATTAGTTACAGCCCTGTGCCCTGTGATCCTGGATGTAAGTGTGCCTCAATACGTGAGAATGCATTGGCATAGAGCCTGAAAGCTTGTGCGCGGGAGGTAAGCACAGTAAGCCATTCAAATAAGAAAAGCAATTATGCACGTGCACATATCTAGGAGCAGAACTGAGCTTTCGGTGTCTATAGTTCTAGTAATTAGAGGGGTGATCCTGAAGGATGCTAAAAACATTTGCAACAAGCCTTTGAGAGCTGTTCCATGGCTTGGTCAGCTCCTCAGGATCATGCTCTAAGATTACAGCAAGCGGATGTGCTAGATATTTGTGTAACCTTAATTTATATTTCATGTAAACTAGTGTAATCCTCCTTAAATTATTCTAAAATAATTCTAGTAATCTGCAGTTGCATATACCTGTACTATAATCAGAAAGTTTACAGACCTTATAAGTTCTGTATAATTTTGATGGATGATCCAGTAGGGTAAGTCAAGAGAGGTTTAATAGATTTAAATGGAAAACAGTTCTTGTTTCTTTGTAAATAAAATTTATTTATATCTGTTTAACTGAATAATTTTGTGCACCTTTATTTCCTGAAAGTTGTGATGGTAATGATTTGTCTAGTGGCTGAGAAGCAGGGGGAAAAGACAAAGATCATATTAGGAGTCAAAGGGCAGAAGAACGAGTGGTTTGTCTATTATAAACAGACTACCTGATAACAGCCTTTTGTGATCATATCTGTGAAACATACCTAATTCCTGTAGGCAATTTCTGAAAATATTTAATTTGGGGAAAAGGTAAGTCCTCTTAAGTAAGTTATTGCCTAAAATGATATCACAATATCTAGAAAAAATAATCTCCATCAACATTTTATAGAACTTGAAAGTAATTTCCTTTTTGAGGATACAATATGGCTCATTCTCATAAAAAGAGAAATGATCATAAATATGTTAATGAGAAACTGATCATAAATTATAGTAAGAGAGATATATATAAGTGAAAACATTACTCTTATTATGCCATATTTTTACAGATAATCTATCATTTTGAATTTCCTTGACAAAAGCTGTATTTGTGAAAAGGGAGTAAATACATCATGCAAATTTCTCCATGAAATAAAACTGACAAAAATCATGTTAATGGTGTACGTTATCCTAAGTACTATGACTGTGGGTCAGAACCACAGGTGTAGCTAGCCTTGTATCCAGCCTCCAACAGTGGCCACCAGCAGATTGTGTGAAACGAAGAACAAATAAAGTGAGCCCGTTTTTCTCCATGAATTATTTCATTTTTGAACTTAGGCTGTCTTTCAGCCTCCCCAATCCCTTGTGGCTACGAGCCTCACGTTTTAATTATGTGTTGTGTGAAAAAGTAATCTCTTGTTTGTTTCAGGTCTGTTTTATTCAAGATTTGCTAGTGCGCCTGAACACACTGGAAGAGTGCTGTAAAATGAACAGTAATCCATTTGCTGCTAGTGTTTAAAAGCTTTGGCAAATTTTAATGATAAAATACTCATTTGGGCAGAAAGCGTAGTCACTTGTCCTAAGCTCATGACAACACTATCTTACTTGTCCCTCTGAATAAATTTTTACACGTAAATATTAGTGTGTGAAGTATTAAAAATCAAATTCCAACAGCAGAACAGATTTTTTTTCATAGTGTAAAAACAAGATCAGTTAAAGGCAAAACCCATTCTTAGCCCAAACCCCGCTAAGGTAACACTGGACTTGGAGACAAGTAGTAAGAGCATTTATTGGGGCCAGCATAAATGGGTGCAACCTTGGGGTTGTGCAGAAGACAGGCACTGGCCTGCATTCGCTGAAAACCGTGCTCCTCTTCCTCACTTCAGTAACTTATTTTAATACATATCCCCAATTGCAACTGAGCAGGAGCAACTGTTTAACTGGCACTCTTGCTGGCTACTGGAGTTTGAAAATGAGGAGTGGGCCAAAAGGCCTAAGCATAGACTACCCACTCTCCAGTCACATCATAGCCAGCACCATAATAGTAGATACATGTATTTAAATATGTGGTCCTCCTAGAGGAATGTGACGTGCGTCTGTGTAATGTCACCCTGCTCTGTATTGCCTATGAATTATTTCTTTTCCTGAAAGATACCTATGTTCCTTTTACAGACCAGACTCTGGGAAAGGCAAGAATATATCTGAAAGAATTTATTTAATAACCTGCTAAATCTGAATAAGTTCTAACTTAATGGACTCTTAAAATATAGTTCAACAGCTATAGAAATTGACTACATGGAGACCTCCTGCAGCTTTACACTTATCATTTTTATTTTTGTTTTCAAAAGCATTAAGCTGTTTGTTATAAAACAATGAATGTGAGAATTGGCAATTTCTTGTGAAAGAAGTCTTGTTTCCTAGAAACTTGGCACTTCTTAATTCTGTATGGCCTTGCTTACAAGTCTAGTGGCATATTCATCAACTAAAGTTTATTGTGAAATATACTGAATGTATTTACTACTGTGGCTAACAATGTGGAATTTATTGTTTTTACAGTTAATAAGGTTATAGCACTTAGTTTTTTGAACCTACTGAAGCATGTTTGCTAATCATAAGTTACTCTTTTTCCTGTAGTTTAACCTGCTCCATAGCTGTTTGGCCTTTATGCAGTTTGAATCCAGCAACAGATAATTGGGTATAATTTTGCACAGATAAAATTTGAAACTACAGTGTACTTGGTTATTAAAATGTATTCTAAGAAAAAAGTGCAGTAACTGTAGAAAAAGAACAAAACTCTTTTTACTTGCGGTACAAAATGGCAACATGTCATTTTAATGAGTGGTCCTGCTCTTTCTTCTGTATTCCTTTGCAGTGTTTAATTACAGAATGCTGTGCATGTTTGGTAGTACCAATACCATGCGTATGTGGTAGGAGTGGTAACCAGTTTCTGGATTTGTAATGCACTATAAAGCTATATTTTATAATTCTGTAACTGTATGGCAGTGTTATGCCAAAAAATTATGTATAAACATAAAAAGCAATAGTTTATGATGTTGCTTATTGCTATATTTTAAATGGTTTGTTTGTAAAATGAAATACTTGGAACTCCTTTCAGGTAAATATATTTTTAATAACAGCAGCCAAAAACTCTAAAATAATAAAGCTTCTTCATTTAGCAGCATTGTTTTAGCAACATGTATGAATGTTGTGTAGAACTAATAATGTAACTGATGCTCTGCGCTTGTTTGTAGAGTCTTCTGTAAATGTGTTAATACCTGAAGAAGGGCATTAAAGGCTCTGGTCCTGCTCTTTTGTTGTCAGTGGCAAAAGCACCACGGGAAGCCGAGGAACAAGGGAAGGCCCAGAGCATGCTTTACTAAAAGTTTTTGTTTTTTTCTTAATTAAAGAAACATACATACTTTGAGAGCATTTTCACATGATTAAAAGGTAAAATATCCTTCATGAGGATGTGGGCAGAAGTGCCCATGGTGCTGAGCTTCCCCCTGTTGCTGGGGTTGGTGCTGGCCTGGGGGGCCACGTGCCTGGGAGCTGCGTGCTGCCCTTGGGGTTGGCGTCCATGGAGCCCAGCTTGGCACCGTGTCATGGTTTCAAAGTTTCTATTTCAAAGTCACTATTTTGTGCCTCTTTCCTCTATGTCAGGAGTCTACGAGGGGCTGCATGTCTCCAAGTGCCAGCACCTCTACGCTTTCAAACCAGCCAGGGAACTAGCGACCACTGTGTACTTCCTGGTGGTGATATTTAACCATCTGTTCATATTCATCCTACACTGGAATTTTACTTTTGGAAACTGGACAGCTTCATCTCCTTTCCCTAGTTCTATCGTAAGTTATTATTTACATGGCAGGATGGTAGATATATGCAGCTGTCCCAGTCCATAGTAAAGCAGTGCCCACACCAACTGAACGGCATTTGAGAAAAACAACTTATTCTCCTCATAGGATCTACCAAAGATGGGTTCGTTTGGGTGGTATAGGATTACAATACATGGATGAATGGATTTACAATTATTATAATTTTACCGGCTTCGACCAAATAACTAATACAAGTGTCAACTAATGCTGTATCCCTATGTTGAACTATATACACCGATATTTACAGGCAGCTTCAGAAAGGAAAACACTGAACAAAGATCGCAAAACCAATTAGGATATTGACACATGTGAAGGGAAGGAAGGGGTTGAAGAGGTGAGGTTGCCCTGATCAGGCCACGCTGGGCTGGTGTGCTGATGCCCGGGAGCAAAGCCCGTAGAAGTGATCTAGCCACACCGGTGGGGTGTGAGATCTCCAGTGTAGAACCGTCTTTGGATACAACCAGTCTCTGCGAACTGGCAACAGCTGCCTACAGCTGGTGCTGTTTCTCCACAGCTGGAAGCCTGGCAGGAGTCAGTTAACAGGGGAGGGGTCACACAGAGGTCAATTCCTATTAACTTAATAGGTGTCCGTTTAATAGGGCCTCTAAAACCATAACAGTAGCTCTGTAAAGGTTTGGAGGAGATTTCCTACTCTCAAATGTTGCTTTTCAAAGCAAGAAGACTACAGGTGCCCTGTGCAAGGCAGCAGTGTTTCATACCTGCTCCATGTCTCTAAGGGAACATGAAATAACATGGATACTTTAATTTCCCTTCCTGTTAACATGTCACATGGGGACAGGACTGAACTGCTGGCCAATAACACAATCTGCATTATTGTGTTCAATCCCCTCTGGGTTTCCTAAAAAAAATACAGTGCAGTTGCAGCTTTGCAAAAGTCACAGAATCAGAGAATGGCAGAGGTTGGAAGGGACCTCTGGAGATCATCCAGTCCAACCTCCCTGCTCAAGCAGGGTCATCCAGAGCACAGGATTGTGTCCAGATAGCTTTTGAATGTCTCCAGGGAAGGCAACTCCACAACCTCCCTGGGCAACTTGTGCCCTGTCACCCTCACAGGAAAGAAGTTTTTCCTCAGGTTCAGATGGAAATACCTGTGTTTCAGTTTATGCCCGTTGCCTCTCGTCCTGTCGCTGGGCACCACGGAGAAGAGGCTGGCCTCATCCTCTCGACACCACCCCCCTTCAGATACTTGTACACGTTGATGAGATCGCCTCTCAGTCTTCTCTTCCCCAGGCTGAACAGGCCCAGCTCTCGCAGCCTTTCTTCAGAGGAGAGATGCTCCGGTCCCCTCATCA